ACCGAACCATGAGATTATGACCTGAGCCGAAGTTGGATGTTTAACTGACCCAGGCACCCCTAAATTATTTTATTTTTTTTTCAAGTTTATTTATTTATTTATTTATTTATTTATTTATTTATTTAGTAATCTTTACCTCCAACATGGGGCTCGAACTCATGACTCCAAGATCAAGAGATGCATGTTCTTTTGACTGAGCCAGCCAGGCGCCCTGAGAGATTTTCATTTTGATCAAAGGGGTTAAGGGGTTAGGAAAGTCTTCCAAGCTCAGCACTGCACAAACTGGGGTCAGTCTGGCTCCTAGAGTCCCACCAAGGAAGTCATCCCCTGCTCCCAACCCCTCCCTGGCTTGGGCGGTGCTTCTGGCCACTGTCCACACCTCATTCTGCCCACTGAGCTGCTTCCTTCACGGTGCTCTTGTGAGGGCCCAAGCACTGCACAAAGTTCCTACCAGTTAAACATGATAAGGGCACCCAGTCCTCCCCAGAGTCAAGGCTAATCTAATGTTCCCTGAACTTGCCTTGGTATTTGCAGGCACTATGTGAAGTTCTTTCATTCATCATCTTGCTTAAGCCCTATTATCTGCCTTAGGAAGGGAGGACTTAATTCTCCAGATTGTTTTTCATCTCCATTTTTTCAGATAAGGAACACGAGGCTTAAAGAGGCCTAATTCCTTGTCCACGGTCATTGGCTGGATTTGAACCCAAGGTCTTGGACTCTGGAGTTCATGTTCTTAATACACTGCCTGCCTTCCAAAGCCATGGAAGCTAATTTCCCGTGGGCTGAGTTGTGTGCTTTGAAAAAGGGTCTAAGAGGGACTGACTTCTAAGGATGCGGTGTGACTGGGACCTTAGGTTTAACCGAACAGCCCTGCCCTGCCCCCACCAACAAAAGTGACTTGCCAGAGCAGACTAAAAGGCCTGATCGGATCAGAACCCCATCCTTCAAACCCCAAGCCTGGCAAGATGGGTGGCAGCACTGGCCTGGTAGAGCTAAGATGGAGGGAGGTGGGGGGGCGGTGGTGCAGGGAGACCCAGAGAGGGAGGTACGAGAACCCTCCGGGAGCCCAGGGGGGCAATGCCCAGCCATGTGACACGTAGACAGATAGGGTCCCTATCTGTCCCACACGGAGCTATGCCCTACACTCCTAGATCCATTCTGCTGTCTTACAATGTTCACCCTTCTTTAACATGCTGGTTGCTTATAACCCCCACCGCCTCCAAAAAAGTTCTATTGACTCTTCTCTGGTTACAAAGGCACTGAAACCTGGGGCTGGAACCAGAAGGGATTCAGCCCGGGTGGAAAGGGAGGGGGTCCCAGGCTGAGACCACTGGAGGATTCACATGCATCAGGGACCATGCCCTTCCCCCCAACGCTGGGGACCAGAACCTCCTCCCTGCCATGTCTTTAAATAAAGCACTGTTGAGTAAATAGAGCAGTTCACCTTGATCATCAAACACTTTGGGGAATGTGGGGAGTTTGTTGTGAAAGAAACTGGGGTCCTTTAAGAGGTGAGGGTTTGAAATTAAGGGCAGGGAAATCTTTGGGAAGATGGATGTCTGGGAGCCCCCAGCCTCAGGGTGCTGTGTTAGGGTTTAGGAGATCATGGAGTAAGTAGGGGATGCAGACACATCCTCAAAGGGCAATTAGGGATCCCCGGGATAGAGACAGCCTGGCCCCAAGGGGAGGGGCGAGTCTGAGGGCACCCAACCCGTTACCTGGAGTCAAACTTCTTGCCATCCTCGAAAGTGCCGTTGTAGTGGTAGCGAACAAAGTCCCCCATCTGCACTTCCCGGGGACAGGTCCTGGGGATGTGGTACCTTTCGATGACTACATCTTCCAGGGGGCCCCCGGCCGGGCTAGCACGGCCCAGCCCCCTCCCCACTGCCTGTACCAGCAGCAGCAACTGCAGCAGGGGGAGCCGGAGGAAGGTGCGGCTGGGGGACACCGTGCGGAACATAGTGCCTGGAGCTGGGACCGCCGGCAGTGAGGGCGAGCGAGGGAGTCGCCGCCGACAACCTCCTTTCCCCCTCCTCCCGGAGCTGGCTCCCCCCCTTTCCCAGCATCCTATCCCCACCTCCCCCCGCCCTGGCTAGTCCACGTGGAATGGGGGCAGGGGAGAAAGAGCTGGCGGGGCGGAGGACGGAGGGTGGAATGGGAGGAGGGGGCAAGGCTGAGTGTAGGAGTCCAGGAATGCACCACAAAGAACTCCAGATCCAGATCCCCCCTCCCTATCTCCCGGGGCTCAGCGTCCTGGGGCCTCAGCCTGAAGGAGCTGGGAGCGGGAGAAGTTGAAGGACCCCCCATTAAAAGAAAAAAAAAAAAAAAAAGAAAAAGAAAAAAGTTCAGTGTCTTTTTTTCCCGAACCCCTGGGTCCTAAAGCCGGACTGAAGTATCCTTGTTTTTCTGCTGGCCTCCCCCCCCAAAATTCAGGCTAGCCTTCTCCTCTCCAGGTGGCTGGTGAGGCTCCAGAATTCGGGAGGGGGTGTCTCACTCCCCCCCCGCCCCACATCCCCATTGCCTGTCTCAGGGATGGCCTCCAGGATCGAGAGCTGCGTGGTCCCGCGCTGGACAGTCAGGACGATCCCGCGCGGGGATGGACATAGGGTGGGCGGCAGGCGAGAGAGGAGATGTGTGTGCGGGGTGAAACCAGGAGTGCGCCTCCGAGTCGCGGACTGGAGCGGAGGGACAGAAGTGACTGTCAGCTAGGGGCGGAGAAGGAGCAGGAGGGACTCCCCTGTAATGGAAAGAAGACTGCCAAGGTTTGGGCAGAGTGGTGGAGGCGGCGCTCCCTCATCGCGTCTTGATCTTAAGGTGGGGACTGTCTTTGCGTGGGAGGGGCTTTGTGGTCCCTTCCTGCGGGAAGCGTTCTCCACCCACTTACCATCTGTCAAGGGGAAGACTTCCCCAAAGGGCAGCAGGAGGCCGCCAACGGGAATTAGGCCCCAGGGCCCCAGCCTCGGGAGAGCTGACCCAGACTCGACCTGCCCTCCTGCCGTCGCTGCCCGGCGTTAAGACCCAGCGGGCGCCCACGTTCGGCCTCCCCTCGGCTATGCCTCCCCCGCCTGCGCGGCCGGACGCCGCCTCCTCCCGGCCTGGGAGAGCTGGCCGAGTGGCGCGGCCATGGGGGGCGGTGGGGCTGTTGTGGCTGCCGGGCTGGGCAGGCCGCGGGGCAGTACGAGAAGTACCCGGGCTTCCCGCCCGAGGTGACCTGATGCCCTGGCTGTCGCGGCCTACGGGCACGCGCTGCTCGAGCAGTACGAGGGCGAGAGGCTGGCGCGAGAGCGCGCGCTACCGAGTGGCGGCGGCACAGCCGTACTCGGTTGCTGGACAGCGAGGCCTTCTGCCGCCACGCTTAACCGTAGTGTCTCGCGCCGCCTGCGGCTCCTCCCGGGGCCCGGAGCCCGCCTCGACGGTATCGCGGCGCGGGTCTGGGGAGGTTGCCAGGAGCCTGGCCACGTCCAACGCGTTGCCTGTTCGCGCTGTATGGACGCTGCCCTGCCTTCCAGGTGTCTCTACCTGCTGCAGGAAGGTTGCATGATCTCCAGAGCTGCCTCCGTCTCTACCAGTGCACCCACCCATGCGTTGTTCATAGGGTGCCTTCCCCTCGCCTCCCCTCCCTCCCCACCCCCAGGATCTCATTCCTCCTGGAGGCCCCACCTCAATTCTTGTCCTGGATCCTCCTGCCTTGCCTCCTTGCCTCCTCCTCCAGCCTCCCCTGCTGCGCCCCTGGTCCTGAGCCACCTGTCCCATCTGCTCCCCCTAGGGCTGGTGCCCTCGTCTCTGGAGTTTCTGCTGCCCCGCCTCTCGTCTCCTGGGCGCAGCTGGGGCGCGTCGTTCGGAGCCGGCATCTGATTCCGTCCGGTCCCGGAGCAGCATCGATCGCACAACCAAGGACAGCCAAGCCCTCTGCAATTTCTCAGGGCTTTCGATCTCTGGCCCTTCCTCGGAATTCTCTCTTCAATCCCTGGGCAAGTGTCCTGCAGGAAGCAGCACCGGCTGGAGAAGGCGGCGGCCGCGGCCTACACCTTCCTCCAGAGGAACCCGAAGCACGAGCTAACCAGCTGGGAAAGTATCTGATATTACTTACATTGGGATGGACACTGGAGGGATTACCAGCCAGACTTTGGGAGGCTGGAGCTTTCTCTTGGAGGGAGGAGGGATGGAGGGATACCACACTCATCATTCTTCTCCTGACCACTGTCCCCCCACCCCCCGCGGGGCTTGTACCGGAGGGGAGGTGTTGGGGGTCTCCCTGACCCCTCTGACACACCCCTCTAGGCAGTGTTCCTCAGGGCTGTGAAGCTCTACAACAGCGGAGATTTCCGCAGCAGCACCGAGGACATGGAGCGGGCCCTGGCTGAGTACCTGGCTGTCTTTGCCCGGTGTCTGGCTGGCTGTGAGGGGGCCCACGAGCAGGTGGACTTCAAGGACTTCTACCCGGCCATAGCAGGTATTCCCCTCCCCCTCCAGATCCCTGTGGGTGACCCTCTCACCCACAGGGCCCTGCTTCCCAGCGCTCGTAAGGCCTCTTAACGTGTAAGTATTCATCCCATACGCGTGTATGGAGCACCCAGGAGGTTCTTGGGAGGTGCACAGAAATAAGGTGTTATCCCTGCCCTGGGAGCCTTCAGTCAGTGAGAAAGGCTACAGTCCTGAGTGTCCAAGGTGCTAGGCGTTGGTGCAGAGAGGTGGTGACATCCCAAAAAGGCCTGAGGACGTTGGTTTCACAGGCCTCAGGCGGAGGGCAGTACAGGTGCAAAGGTGCCATGGTCATGTGTACAGAAACAGCCCAGCAGGTGTGTGCAGAAGGCAGTTTGTGGCCAGAAATCGCACCTGGTTAGGGATCCCTGACCACGGGGTGCCTCAGCGGGGACAGAAAGAACACTCCTGAGCTTCTCTACCTAGGCTTCCCACCTCCAAACCTCATCTGCCTCAGAATGCCCCAACTCCCTCCGGTTTTGGGGTGGGGGTTGAGCTGTGGGGGTGGTAAGGCGGCCCAGGCCACAGTAGTTGCCCTCAGCACTGCCCTTTGTATGCTGAGCCAAGTCTTTACTGGCATTATCTCCTGTGGTGGCATCGGCTGGGCAGGCACCGGCTCCTCACCACTGCCTCCCACCCCCTAGATCTCTTTGCAGAGTCCCTGCAGTGCAAGGTGGACTGTGAGGCCAACTTGACCCCCAACGTGGGCGGCTATTTCGTGGAGAAGTTCGTGGCCACCATGTATCATTACCTGCAGTTTGCCTACTACAAGTGTGAGCATCCTGGTGGGCTTGGGATGGGGGGAGGGGGGCAGGGGAAGAGAAAGCATTGCCCTGAGAGTGTTATAGGGTCGTGGGGAACCGTCCCTCATATGTGAGGACCCTGCGTGATGGCGGGGAAGGCTGGGGGTGGCAAACAGGTGAGAGGAGGGGAAGGAACAAAGAGCAACCTTAGGAGAATTCAGAAACCTCTTGGGTAAATGGGTAGCCAACGACTCCACCACAGTCAACAGTTTACAAAGGCCTACCACATCTGTTGATCTCACTTGGTGCTTTCACCCATCCCCTGCAGCTGACATTACGGGACCCATTTTTCAGATGAGGAAACTGAGGCTCATAGAGCTCAAGGGGCCATTAGTCACATGGCCAATGAAAAGGAGCACCAGGATTTATGGCTCTCCTCGTCTGGGGGAGAGCCTGGCATCCACGGGGGCCGGGATTGACGAACTCCAGAGTTCTTGCCATGCAGAGCTGCCAAAATTCAGATGGAGGCTGGAGTTGGAGTGGAGGAGCTAAGGACCAAGGGGCCAGGAGACCATTCATGGGTCCGTTGGTGAAGAGGTTGAGGGCAAGGCTGCTGGGCTCTCATTCTCAAGTGCCATTATTCTCCAGCTGTGTGAGCTTGAGCAGTTTACCTAACCTCTCTGTGCCTCAGATTTCTTGTCTGTATATTGGGGATGATGATAATGGTGAGGCTTAAATGAGTTACACAGGCTTGGCACGTGGTAAGTGCCCAGTACATTCTAGCTTGCATTATCATTTGGGTGGGGTGAAGGGGCCAAAAGATACTGTTGGGGGGGGGGGACAGCTGGGGAGCCAGGAGCACTGGACTGAATTGGGAAAGGGGGACGGTCTAGGAAGGGCTTGTCCCTGAAGGCGGGGAAGTGCGGGGGCTACTCCTCACTCCTGTCCTGCCCGCAGTGAATGATGTGCGCCAGGCCGCCCGCAGCGCCGCCAGCTACATGCTCTTCGACCCTGACGACAGTGTCATGCAGCAGAACCTGGTGTATTACCGCTTCCACCGGGCTCGCTGGGGCCTGGAGGAGGAGGACTTCCGGCCCCGGGAGGTGGGCACTGCCTTTGGAGGCACTCTTGGGACAGGTGGTTTAAAAAAAAAAAATCCTGGCTTCTTTGGAAGGCAGGGTGGGAAGTGAAAAGAAAGACTATGGGTGGTGATGGGAGTCCTGGGTTCAAAGCCAGCCCCACCCGCTGAACGGGCCTGGGAACATTACTGATCCTTGCTGAATACGTTGCCTCACCTACAGAATGGTAGCACGGCGCCCAGGCTGTGGGAGGTGCAAAAATACCCGTCCATTACCACCTGCTCCCCTCCCCACCCTCACCACTCTCACTGCTGGCTTTTGCCCTCCTTCCCAGGGACTTCCTAGCTTGGACCCACTAAGGAAACCCCCGGGAATCTAGGGCAAGACTGGCAGCCATGGGGCACATGGTGCCACTCTCGATTTCCTTACTAGTGGCAGACATTGCTAATCGATTAAGGAGCTCTTTCTAACAGAGCCCTCCCAATCCTCCCTAACCTCTCCAAACAGCTATGATTTTTCAGTCAGCATGTGACTGATACCTGTTCCTTGCTCCTTGAGCTGAAAAAGCGTGTGGGGGGGGTGGGGACCCAGATCCCAACTTGCCTCCTCTACCATCTGGCGGCAGGCTCTGGCTTACCTCACTTTCCCCCCCTTCCTCTCAGGAGGCCACGCTCTACCACAATCAGACAGTGGAGCTTCGGGAACTGCTGGAGTTCGCACATATGTACCTGCAGCCAGATGATGAGGTAAGTGGCCACCTGCTCTCTGGGCTGGGCCATGGCGGGGACCCTTGATCTCTTCCTGGAGGGCCTCTGTGCCAAAGCTCGGCCCTACCTCGGGGGGCAGTCAGCTGCTCCTTATCTATACCTGCTCTTTGCTCCCCACTCAGTGTTCTCATGCTCTCCTTCTCTGCGTGTCTGAATGTTGCCACATAACTCCCCCAGCCCAGCCCAAGTGGCGCTCCTCCGGGAAGCCCTCCCTGCATGTTCTGGCTGTGCCTTCTGGGCCTGCAACACCAACTGTGACCCTCTGTGCCTCCCTGGCCCTGGAGTTGCTTGCAGCCCTGATCCATCCCTTCTCCATCCAGTCTCTCAGAGGCTCGTGCTTTGGGATGGGGGACCAGGTTATTCCCAGCTTTTCCACAGCGCCTGCCCCAGAGCTGGCACCGGGAAACTGAGTTTGAATGAACCAGTGAATGAATGAATGCCGGTGCCGGGAAGGAAGGACTGAAGTGTGATCCCTTGATCCTGAATGAGGGGGTTTGGGAGTCCAAATTTCTGTGAGGTGTGGCTGCTCGGCGCTTATTTATTTATCCATCCCCCACTTTGTTCACTCACCCGTGCCCCCACTCATCACGCATGGGGGAGGGGCTACGCTGTTTGCACCCCGGCTTTGGTGACAGCCAGACTTGGCCCCTCTGCTTACCAGCTGGGCAGCCTCCAGGCAAGTCTCAGGTAGCTCTTGAACTTCGGTTCCTGCATCTCGAATGGGGAGGGTGATGCCGGTGTCACAGCATTGTGGTGACCGTGAAATGAGATCAAGTATGGAAAGCATCTTCCCCAGAGCTGGCCCAGAGCAGGTGCTCGGTGAATGGTGGCCATTTTGATTACACTTATTTGTGGCCTGCTGTTTGCCAGACAGTGTGTGGGGCTGGGGTAAGTTGATGAAAAGGTACAGTCCCCTCCTCAAGCAGCTCACGGTCTAGTTGGGGAGGCACAAACAGTGCTCGGGAGAGGTCAGCACGGGGCACCAGAGGAGGGCTCCAGATCCAGCCAGGGTCATCGGCCAGGGCTGAATCCTGGAGCTGATGCCTGGCATTGGTGAGTCAACGAGAGCGATCCAGGCACGGGGTGGGGGTGAGGGGGCAACCGTGTTTCTGGCCAAGAAGTTGCATGGGCAGACAGCATGCAGGGAGTAGCAGCATCCGCTACGGCTATGGAATTTATGCTTAAAAGGATGGCCTTGGAGAAAGCAGTGCTCACGCTAGCATTGACTCTCTGTCGGGGGAGCCCCATACATCGGCGCGGGGAGTGGCAGTTTGGGAATGGGACCTTGTGGGAGAAACCCTCAGATCAGTCCTGTGTGGGATCTTGAGACTGGGGAAGGAGGGGCTTTGGGGGCTGAGATGGGATGGGGGGCCCCTCGGCCAGGAAGGGAGCCGGTCTGGGTTTGTGCCTGCTGTGACCTCCTTTCTTTCCCTACCCTGGGGCTGCTGTAGATGGAGCTGGAAGAGGCAGTGCCGCCTGTGGAGCCCAAGGACCCTCCATCCGATGCCGAGTTCGAGGGGGAGGGGGACTACGAGGAGGGCATCTATGCTGACTGGTGGCAGGAACCGGATGCCAAGGGTGATGAGGCAGAGGCCGGTCAGTGACTCGAGTCGGGGTGGAGGGTGGGGATGCGACCTAGGATGGAGGTTGGCCACAGAAGGATCCACATACTGGGCTGCAGAGGCAGTCGGAGCGCCAGGACCTCCCGCCTCGGGGGGCTTCTAGCCTGTTAGCCAACCCTGTCCCACTTTGTGTGTGAGGGGGTGGCATCCTTCTCAGAGCCGGGACCAGCTGAGACCTGTCCTAGGGAGCCTCATTCCTGCCTGCCCCCTTGCCCCCAGGACAGCCCCCAGATGCTCTTTGGGAGTGGGTGGGGGGGACTAACCTGGTGCCCCCTCCTTTCCTTTTCAGAGCTGGAGCCTGAACTAGCATGAGAAGAGAGCTACCCTTGCACCCCTGAATTGCTGGGGAAGCCTGGGCCCAATGGGACCACCCTCACCAGCCTGGGCAGCAGCAAGAACTATTTATTAAAAACGTAAAATGGACATAGCTGACCAGGCCCCATCCGATCCCACCTGTGAGCGCTGCTCCCCGGGTCCCTCCTGTCTCCTCTCTGGGTCTCTGGACCCCAAGTTGGTGGTGCTACAGCTGCTGATGGCCCTTCCTCCTCCCCAGGGCTCTCCTCACCCGGACAGTCTCCTGAAGAAGGTTCCTGCTCCTCCAAGTTGGGGTCTCAGCCTGAATTTCAGAGACAGCAGAGGGGCAGCCAGTGTCACGAAGAGCACTGGACCAGGAGTCCAGCGGTTTCTGGCACGCTGGCAGTGGGTGCTCAATAAAAGTTTCTTGTTGAATGAATTGCAGCACCTGGGTTCCAGGCTCCCCTGGGCTGAGGGTGCAGATCCTTCCTTGCCTCCCTCTGCGTCCATCTCCCCTCATCTGTAAATAAGTGGTGGGCGAGGGGGCCAAAGGCACAGTTTTGGCCTATGGGGACCCTGGGTGGTTGTGAGAGCAGAGTGCAATTGCAGATCTGCCACCAGGGGGCGTGAGCACACAGTTCCTTTCCTGGTCCCTGGAAGATGGTTTCAGATTTCTAACATGGGTTGTGCTGTATTTTCCTAGTCCAGCATTACTTCCCCTCAGGGAGTGTGGTGAGCGTTGGGAGGGGGCTAAGGACATTTACTTCCGGTTTTTACTTTCAGGCATTTACTGACCCAGGTTCTCTAGGGTCTGAGCGAGCAAGCCCTGCCTTGCTGTGTGCCCATTCTCCCATTCCTCAGCAGAGGTTGGGGCTCCATCGGAACAGCCAGAGGGGCCCTAAGGACACAGTCTGATAACATAAGACCTAACGGTGGTATTGGGACTGCCAGATCCTCTTGCCCAATCTTGCTTCAGCTCCAGGGGGGCAGAGAGTCCTGAGGTGCAGAGGTAAGGATGATTTCAGGTGGCTGTTCGGCGCTGTGACTCACCAGCGTCCTCCCCATGTTCCACAGTGGGAAGGTGGGGGCAAAAAGGGCCTCTCTGGAGAGGGACCCTGGGCCAGGACACGGCAAGTAACAGTTCTGCCCGATTCCCCATGTTTCAGGCCGCCCCGGGGGGCAAGGTGCTGTAGGAGGCTTCTTTTGCTACTGGAGGGTGGAGCTGATGCTGGGAAGGCCCAGTTCTCACTGCCCACACCCCTGCTTTCCCTACTGATGGGCCAGGGGACCTGTTCTGGGCCCTGCCCATCTCTGTGCCCGGGAGGACTCTCTGCCTCACCCCAAACCCCTCCCCTGGGTCTTTGGTGGAGACAAAGACAGGAAGGCCAGAGTCGGGCTGCAGCAGGGCTGGGTCAAGGCTGAGGGCACCAGTGACCTCACTCCCTTCTCTCCACGTAGGTGGGTCTAAAGTGGCAGCGTCTCCTCAGAGCTCCGGGGTGCCAGGGTGGCCCTGCCCCGCCCCACCCCTTTCTAGCTGCTGTGCTGTCAGCTTCCACCGAGGCCCCGCCCCCTGGTTCTGGGAGGGGCTGCCCTTGGGGCTGGCACTGCGGAGGAGGGGAGCTGGGATGCGCTGGAGCGTGCCTGCTGTGAGTAGGAGCTTTGGAATCTGGACAGCTGGGTGTGAGTCTGAAAGGGTGTGTGTTCGGGAGCGAGAAGGTCTGTGTCTTGTGTGCTGCGTGGACGTGTGGGTCTGGGTGTGAGCCTGTGAGCCTGTGTACCTGTGTCTGAGAATGTCTGTGGCAGTTTGGGGGGTGACTGTATTTCTGCACATGAGCGTGCGCATTCATGAATGTGTTTCTAGAGGGGTTTGCTCACTCAGCACACGTTTATTTGCTTTAAGTTTATTTATTTTGAGAGAGAGAGCACACACAAGTGGGGTAGGGGCGGAGAGAGGGAGAGAGAATTCCAAGCAGACCACACTGTCAGCACAGAGCCCAACACGGGGCTCGATCTCATAAACCATGAGATCATGACCTGAACCGAAATCAGGAATTGGACGCTCAACCGACTGAGCCACCCAGGCGCCCCTCAGCACATATTTATTGAGCACCTAGTATGTGCTAAGCCCACTGTAGGTTGCTGGGCATACAAGAGTGGGCCAAGCAGGCCAAGCACCCTGCCTTCATGGAGCTTGTGTTCCAGCAGGGAGCTATGCAATAAACAATAGGTGTTATAATAAATAAGTTACATGATTAGTCTGATAAATCAAGACAGGAAAATAGAGCTGGGTAGGAGGGAAGGGGAGACCTGAGGGGTGGCCATTTAAGACATGTGTGTGTCTAAGTGTGCGTCTGCGAGTGGCTTCTCTGAGCATGTGGTGGCGAGACAGAGTGCGGGTGTGACGGGGATGTCCCCAGCTCCTGCCTAGGTGCTCCCCCCACGTCCAGGCTGTTGCCCAGGCCCTGTAGCCCCATGTCCCTTACTCAGCTCTCCTTTCCTAGGCAGCCACCAGCCCCTCCCGCCTCTCCCTGATGCCAGCGTCTCCCCATTGCCAGGCCAGCTCCCCAAACCGGTGAGACCGAGTCCCAGCGTGGGCCCTCCAGCCCATTCTCCCAACCCCACCCCGTGGGGATGCCCTCGCCTCCTCCACATCTGTCTCACCTGTTCCCTCCTTACCCTACCCGCCACCACCCCACCCAGCACCTCATCAGTCATAGCATCTGTAGTATAATGGGTAGAAGGTTAGGGAAGGCCAAAAAGGCACGGGGGATGATGACCTCACACAGTAGGGCCAGACAGATGCCACAGAGGTGCCCAGACCCGGAAAGACCCCATCCTAAGGCGAGCATCACTGCTACGATGTAGCAAGTGCCTACCACGTGCTGGGCACTCGGCAGGTACTCAAAACAGTCTTGTGACATAGATAGCAATTCCCTTGTGCTACAGGTGAGGCTGAGGAATGAGAAGCAACTTGTCCAAGGTTCCTTAAGTTGAGTGGTGGCTGAGCTGGGTTTGAAACTGTTCTCCCCCAAATCAGTGCTGCTCAGAGAAAGAGAAAGGTGTCAGCTTTGGGGCAAGATGTGTGGACAAAGCCCCCACATTGCCGCAGCCCGCGGAGGGAGGCGAGGGCTTCCGGGAGGGAGGGGAAAGGAAGAGCAGGCGGTCAGGTTCTGCGTCCCAGCCTGGATTCCGGAGCCTGCCCCCTCCCCCACCATTGTCAGCTCCTGGTAATTAGGGCCCATGTTAGGGAGCCTGGGTACAGACTCTTGGGGGTCTTGAATGCTGAGAAGTCACGGCCAATGCAGGGGGAAAGTCCCAAGGCTCTTCCAAAATTCCAATGAATTCCAATGGAAAAAATTCCCCCCTTAGGTTTGAGAAACAGTTCTTTTTTTTTTTCTAATAAAAAAAAAATGCTTTTATTTGTTTTTGAAAGGCAGAGAGACAGAGCATGAGCAGGGGAGGGGCAGAGAGAGGGAGACAGAATCCGAAGCAGGCTCCAGGCTCTGAGCTGTCCGCACAGAGCCCAATATGGGGCTTGAACCCATGAACCAGGAGATCATGACCTGAGCCGAAGTCGGATGCTTAACTGACCGAGCCCTCCAGGTGCCCCGAGAATCAGCTCTTAAAGTCTCACCCTGGTGTTCCCCTTTCTCTGGGAGAGTAGGGTCCCCCTGGGGACAGAGAGTGACTCCCTGTGGCGGAAGGCCGTGTCCAGTTGGCCCTGGTACCAACAGCGTAACCTGACAGAAGTCCCGGCAGCCGTGGGGCCCGAGCGCCCCCACCTCCCTGCAGCTTCCCTATTCTGGGCTCTTCATCCAGGTCTTGCAGCTCCTCTCCAAGGACAGCCCTGGCAGATGGCCCTACCTTCATGGATGGGGAAACCGAGGCCCACTGAGGCTAGAAGGCTGGCTTGGCCCCAAGATGGCTCGAGGATGAGGTGGGAATATGTTGGGGCCCCAGGCTACCCACCAGAGCCAGCCCCGGCCCAAACCCCGGGCCGATCTGCGGACACGTCACCTGTAACCACCACCTGCCTGGGTCCCACTTGGCGCCAGGGCACCTGGATAGCATCTCTTCTGTCCCCTAAACAGCCCTTGGGGTGGGAGCGCCTCTCATACCCATGACTCAGGTGGGGAAACTGAGGTAAGGGGGAGGACATACCTGCTTTTTCATACACACCCCACCTTAATCCTCTGAATCTGGGAAGAACTCACTAAGGTAAGTCACTCCCAAAGTCCAAGAGAACTTAACATTTTCTATTTGGGGTCACCTTTTTCATCTTTCCTATTATTTATTTATATATCTATTTTTATTTTTATTTTTTGAGAGTGTGTGCACTAGCAAGGGAGGGGCAGAGGGGGAGGGAAAGGGAGACTCTTAAGCAGGCTCCAGCACAGGGTTTGATACCAGGACCGGGAAATCATGACCTGAAAGGAAATCAAGAGTCAGAGGCTTAACCACTGAGCTACCCAGGTGCCCCTTATCTTTTCTTTTAGAAGAATGGGATGCTATGTTCCTGGAGCAAAGTAAGGAGTGGCCACGTGAGATGCCCTCCTTTTCCCTTGACCACTTGGTCAAATCCTGGTGGCCTTCCTGGAGGAAGCCGGGAAGGAGCAAGGTTCAGCCAGTCTTAGTGGTGAGTCTGGTCTCTCTCCCTGGCCGTGGTGGTGTGGAGAGCAGGGGGCCTTTTAGAGGCCTCGTGGCCATGAAGGACATCCCATTAAAAGCTTTTGAGGTGCACCTGTCTGGCTCAGTCGGTAGAGCATGTGACTCTTTATCTTGGGGTTGTAAGTTTGAGCCCCCACATTGGGTGTAGAGACTACTTAAAAATAAAATCTTTAAAAAAAAAAAAAAAGGTTTTGGTATCTCCAAATGAGGTTATGCTCATAGTTACAGAGACACAGGGATTCGAATGAAGTCAGAAAATGCTTGTCGTATGACTTTAACCTTTAGCACAATTATTTTGACAAACCTGGTTGGTGATGGTGGTTGGTTTTGTTTTGTTTTGTTTTTGTAAT